TAAGGTTATGTTAGTTTTGATTGTAAAATAGCACAGTAAATTTTGACACTGCCCACATGCAGGATGAAAAGGTGTAGGCTTTCAAATGATACCTAATAATTAATGATAATTAATAAAATATGTGATAGGGCAAAAAAAAAAAAAAAGAGAAAGAGTGCCAAACTTCAAATCAAGAATTGTCTGTTTGAACTTATTAATTTTATTCTGCTCTTCTTATCTAGCTGTATGAGAAAACTCATGAAGGTCAATAACAAACTACATGAATCCACTAACACATAGGCTATGCATACTTAGCATGTGTAATTCTTTTTAGGATTTATTGCACCATTGACCACTATATTTTAACTATGAGAATGAATCAGGTATAAAAGTTTATATCAGTGCTCTGTGCACGTGTGGACGGTAGTGTTCATGTTCTGACAAAACTCAGCCTTGAAAGGAAAAGATATAGCCTGTGTTTTATCCAATTGTGTTTGCAGGGGTTGTTTATTATTATTATTATGAGACGCATGATGTGACCATGCCAAAGGAATAGTCTTGGCGTTCTCAGAGCCATCAAAATAAAGGTCCGCCACACCACCTTTATTTTAACACGCAACGTTAAAATAAAAGTCACAACAACAAGCGCAGCTTACATCACTTCAGAGTTCCTACTGGCGGTGCGAATGCAAAACCAGGAAAACGTTCCTAGGGGAACCATTTGGCAGGGGAACCGGGTTGCCAGATTGAGGACACGCAACAGGAGCGAGCGCAATTGACAATGGAAGGCGAGGAGACTTACAATGCAAGTTGATGATCATTTAGATTAGCTTTTTAGGTCGGGTAGAATCTGCGATCTCTGACCAAGTTCGTTTGCTGGCTTTCATGGCTGCAAAACGCTGTGTTTTCCACCTACTGGCAACCCGGGGTGTTGAAATACTATTGGGTAAATTGGCAGTGGGCGGAATCACACAGACCAAAACAAAAACAGACATTCAAACACAGAACACATATTTCAAAGTAAAATAACTGGCTGTAGCATTGTTTTTCAGAGAAACGTTATGTGAACTTAGCAGGTTTCCTAAATATCTGCAAACATATTATGGTATTTTCATGCTTTAGCGAAGTCAAAAAAATTACAAATTAAAAGTTTGTAATATACTTTAATTAAAAATTCTCATTAGTATTGTAAGAAAACAGTTATTTTACCTGGTCAAAAACAGCTCTGTTTTCAGCACGCCGTTTCAGTGCATATGCCTTTAAATGATCATGAGCTGTGCTCACTCCGCCCCTCTGTTCTGTGCATACACGTTTGTAACACAATAACCATAACGCGTTGTTCATTATAAACGTGGGATTATGAATTATATTGAGAATGTCGTACATAGAAAACATGCCGTAATATACCCTCAGTGTAAACCTTAGACTCATTCATCGTGAAGCATGCAAGCGATTTGCAAAGATATAAATATTAATATAAAGGTTAATAAAACGTTACACTCACTTCAGTTGTTCTAGAGGTTCAGCAGGAACACGAATAGCTGGTACCGATCCTTTATTCAGGAGTAGCTTCTTAGCAAAACCAGCTTTATACTGACCCTCGTTTATAAAGCAGTCTGCTGAGAAATGATTCGCGCAAACATGAGAGCATTGACGTTGCTCGTGGGGAATATTCCCTTCGAAAACAAAACTCAGCCACTGCGTCTTCAGCGGTTCGGATTTGGGAACATTAAAATGACTGCTGTGTTCGTTATTACACCCAAGAACAGAACACCACAATCGCTTAGACGCCATTCTGCTCATAGACAGTGCTCCAGCTTATCAACAATGACCGCGCCGGTCCGCGCGGACTATGATTGACAGCTGGCTCACGAGCGAGGGCGGTTCTGTGTTGAAACCCGGCTGTCATTCAACAATCGCGGGAGGGGCGTCCGACCGTGTGACGTCACACGGTCGAACGGCTCGATTTGAGGCAGGGGAAAACATATAAGGAGATTAAAACAAAAACACTGGATGGATTTTTATCATTATATGATGGTTGTGTACAGGCACTGCCAACACACATTTCAGTACAATCAACTTGAAAAAGTGCATGTACCATTATATGACCCCTTTAAATTTGTTTAGCGATATCAGTTTTAATATTGTGTCTGGATGAGGAGTCGATTCCTTGACTTTGAATAGCTCTAGTATGGTAGTCGACTCTAGTACCTTCAACAAAGGTCAAAGGATGTCTCAGTGTTAGCTGCATTCAGTATTGTTTAGTAGCTTTGTATTTCCTCCACCTCTTTTGTCTTTAAAATATTATTTTAAGTGAGGGTGAAATTAAAAGTGTAATGTCAAATGATTATAGACAAATTAATACTTACCTATCAATAAACTGGTCAATCAAAACAATGTCCCCAGGCTGGATGTCCTCTCTGAGAGAACCGCATGCTGTGGTGACTAGCAGGTGAGTGCAGCCCTCTTCCTTCAATGCCCAAATATTGGCCTGGTAATTTACATTGGTGGGCATGATGGTGTGTTGTCTCCCATGCCTTGTAAGAGGAGGAGGAGGGGGGGGGGGGGGGGGGGGGGGTTGTACATTAGACTTTTATCCTTCATAAATATAAAACCAGCAGGCATTTCAAGTAAAAGTCAAAGCAAATGTATTGTATATACATGCCAGTGTAATCACCTTGCAAGAAGGACACATTCAACATTCTTTATTTTGCCCAAAATTAGCGCATCAGATGGCTGTCAAAAGAGAGGAGGAAATGAGTGTCAATAAATAAAACTTCTGGCTATGCCCATCTGTGATATACTATGGTTACCACATGATTTAAAAGCAAAATCCTAATAATTTGTCATTTTTTTTTCAACTTCTCAGTTCAATTAAAGCAAATGGATATATTCATTTCCAAATATGCTCTCTTATAAACACGCATGTTAGAAAGCACAGCAGACACGATGCAGAGACACTCACCTTTCCAAATGGTGTGACTACATATCGTTCTGTTCTTTCCTCCAGGATATCTGGATCATCAAGACCAGATCCACCAATTATTCCTATCTATAAGAACATGAGATGCTGTATTATAGACATATCTAAAGGTGGGATGGTGTCTGCAGTTGTTTGTTTCAATTAAAGGGGTCATGAAATGCATTTTTTTATATTTACTGAGGTGAACTTAAAATGTTAGTATGATTTTTACATTGTCAAAAAATGTCATAATTTAGAAATAAAAGCTCTGATCTACCATGATTTTAGCCTTCTGATTTGAATGCTCTGTTGGAAGGGGCGTGTCCGCTGTGAGACTTTAATGTAAATGCCCACTGCTATCACTAACATCTTTGCATATGAAATAAGTATTACATGAGGATCTCTCTCGAAAACTTAACTAAGTTTTTACTATTACAGCTGTCGAGATAAACAAATCGTGAAAAGTGTTGATTATAGCATAATATTTAGATCTACTCCCGTGGCATGAAAGGATGCAGTGATGACTATGAGCAATGTAGCCGATGATAGACGACATGTCTGTTGAGCGCATTAAATGCAGTGATCTCGTCAATGCAACTCGATTTCTGCACTCTCACGAATGCTTTCATCATAACTAACAGTGCAAACACTATGTAAATAAGAGATTCATTGTGCAGTGTAGACAGCATCACTGATTATAATGGGAGTTTTGGTGAGAGTCCAGAACAATGATAAACTTGTGCTGTATGAATGACAGCTCCAGTGATTATAAAGGGAGCATTCTTTGATTGTTTTCTGTATATAATTTAATCACAATTTAAACAACAGATTATTTTCACGCTACTAAGAGAAACGATGTGAAACTGACAGTTTAGTCACTGGCTTGATTTACTGACCCACAAACATCAATCAATTAACATGTGCACCCAAGTGCACTAAATAACTATCTAATAAATAAATACATTTTCCAAACAAATTTCCCCTCATTTGCCCACCGACCATATCTGCCAGCCCACCCTTCTATAGCTGGCAAGAACCGGGCCTTTCTGAAAAATGGCAGAGGTTATGAAGAAAAAGGGTCAACACAGTAAATATTGACTCTTTGCATATATTCAATGTTTTTAACTTATGAAATCCTTACCTTTGTTTTACAGTGTACCATGGAAACATGTGGGGATTTTTTTTTTTTTTTTTTTACAAATACTGAAGTAGCAAACTTTGCGAAATACAAAATTTATGTCACTGCCAAAAAACAAGGAACACTCTCGTTGGTCTCTCTATCATGAACCAGGAAACAAAACTATTTAACCGTAAAGCATGTTGTTATATCAGGTTTTCATCATGCGCGAAACGGGCATGATGAATCTCTCATCAAGAGCGAAACGGGTTGCTGACATTGGAAGGAAAGTGCTCTATTCTAACGATTACAACACATAGATATTATTATAAAGTTAATGTTCATTTCAGAAGCCAAGTATGCAACATTTGGTTCTTTCGAGTGTTGACGTGAAAAGTACCACTCCCCTAAACTATTTTCTTACATAACTCACGTGTCATATTTCATGATGATAATATTCAATTTACCTTTATGTGACTGTCCGATGCCATTTTCTTGCAGCAATAAGCTATAACATCAGCTTCCTACTTGTTCTTGCTTGTTTTATGGCGCTGCGCAAGCGAAACAAGCGCAGTAGCGCCGCCTACTGTGATTCAACTAAACCCAGGTAATGAAATAATCTCGAACCCCACAAGAGTGGATCCAAGAGAAGATAACCATAAAACAACTACAGTTTAACGCTACTGTTAGACTTTGTGTTATGGGATGTAATTTAAGCACTGAAACTTATTTTTGTTTTGTTTTTGGTAACACTATAATCCATAAAATGTCTCAGAGAATATGGTGCATAATTAGTCCACTAAAATGCCATCATGAAAACTTGTAAATTAAATAATGAAATGTAAAAAAAAAAAAGTTTATGAAATAATGTGATGTGTACAAAATACAAAATGAAATGTCTCAGCAAACAAAAATTGAGTTTGCAACACTGAAAATACATGTGGGCATTACAAGAAGTAATAAAATCTTTATTCGCCACAAATTGAGTAGTTCAATTACAGTTAAATTGAACATACAAAATCACGAAGGCATTTGCGTTAATCAGTCTTGAGTTGATTCCCAGCATCACCCACTGAACTATATTCAGTTCCAGCAGTTGACTGTTGCTCCATGTCTAGGAAACTGGACTTGAGCGGCTGAGTTTCAGTTTTTGTAGAACTGTTTGCTGTTGTAAAAGTGGAGCTAGCTCCGCAGATATTACTGGTTGAGGGTTCACTGGAGTCAGCATTGTCACTGTCACTATTAATTGTAATGAGAACAGGGCTGTGCTTTCCCACCCTCCCCTCACTATTATGTCTCTTGCTCTTCTTATGTTTCTTTTTCTTCTTCTTGTGATGTTTCCTACTATGACCCTCAGATTTGTCATCTACGCTTGGACTCTCACTTTTCCTCTTGCACCTTTTGTGATGCTTCTTGTTTTTCTTTTTTGCACCATCTTCAGCAGAATCTGTGAAAAAATTACTAGGACTCTTCCTTGAGGGTTCCTCATAATGCTTTGTTTTGTACTTCCTTTTTCTGCCATATTCATCATGCAGTGATATCTGATGTGAGGAGTTGGAGTTGATTCTAGAATTGCTCCTTGAGCGACTTCTTTCCTGATGGTTGGAGGAGTTGATTCGAGAATTGCTCCTTGAGCGACTTCTTTCCTGACGGTTGGAGGAGTTGATTCGAGAATTGCTCCTTGAGCGACTTCTTTCCTGACGGTTGGAGGAGTTGATTCGAGAATTGCTTCTTGAGTGATTTCTGTCCTGACAGTTGGAGGAACTGGACTTGATTCTAGAACTGCTCCTTGAGCGACTTTTGTCCCGACGGTTGGAGGAGTTGATTCTAGAATGGCTCTCATAATGACTTCTGTGCCGACGATTTGAAGAGTTGATTTTGGAATTGCTCCTTGAGTGTCTTCTTTCCTGACCGCTGGAGGAGCCGGACTTGATTCTAGAAGTGCTCCTTGAGCTACTTCTGTCCTCACGATCCATGCTTCGCCTTCTGCTGTGTGATAGAGAATGAGGTCGATTATATACACTTCTGTAGTAGCTGGTGTAGGATGAGCATGTCTCTGTATAACAACTCCTGTCACTGCCTTGCTGACTATAATGGCTATATGAATGCCAATAACTAGAGGTGTGGCGACTTGTGTCCTTTCCTTGGTTCCGGTTATGCTTGCTCTCTTTAGACACTGGGTGATTCCTGCTACAAGAGGAAGAGTGTGTCCTGTTGCTGTGTGAGGATCCTTCTCTAGATCCTGACAACTCCCTTTCATGATTCCTTTTACCATATTTATCTTCTTTTCTAAGATGTGTAGAGGTGTCATCAGGTGAGCGAGAGGACCTTGTTGGCCTCCTCGAGGGTCTCTGAGTTACAGTGGGTGACAAATCCGACTCTGAAGTAAAACGAATATGTTGGGGTGCCTGAGGGTCTTGCGGCTCTTCATTCTGATCAGAATGTTCAGAGTCAGAAGAAAGCTGGACCAGTTCTGGTGTCCTTTCTGCCACTGGCTTAACATAGCTGATAATAACACAGTCTTCATCACTGCCAGAGGAGTCCTCTTCTTCCACTGCAATAGTGGCAGTATTCCCTGGACGGTCCTGATGTGGCACTGCAGCAACAGACACCACTGCTTCCCCAACACTACTATCAGAGTCTGAGTCCCTCACATGGAAAGGTAATACCTGAGATAGCTCTGAAGAGTAGGATGGCCCTGGGGTCTCATCATCCCATGCGGTTTGGCTTAAAGTCACCCTAGGAGTGGCATAATCCTGGGCTCCTGACACTAAAGAATCACTTTCATCCTCAGAGATGGCAATCACAGATGTTTCTGAACTGCTACTCTGTCCGGAGGGCCGAGGCAAGTCATAAACAGCACGCTGGTCATATGCCTCCATGTTGAACGGGGATTGAGCAAAGCTGAGAAACTCATGCAGGAAGTGCTCAGTGTGGGACAGCAAGAAGGGCCGAAGCTCATGTAGAACAGCCTGGTCGTCCAAGTTTTGTCGAGTGATCAGAGTCATGATGATGTGCTGCACTATATTGACAAGGGAACCATGGGTACCGTACAGAACAGTCAGCTCTCGTCGCAACCAAGGTACAAGCCTGTGGAGACAAGCAGGATTTCTTTTAAAGAACTCTGCGGAGGTCTCCCTGGTACGGCCACCATCCTGCACGCTTTGGACTCGCACACCTCTTCTGTACAAGGCTCGTCTGAATTTAATCACTTCTTGTTCATGAAGACTTTGTACAGACCTGCCCTCACTCTCTCTTCTTTGCCTTACTGCCAGCCTCCTTATCATGCTATGGAGATCTCTGCTGTGCCGCTGTGGAAGAGATCCTCTCAGGCCCTCAAATATGACACCATGGTCAGGTGGGGGAGATGTTCTCCTCTGTGCTGGTCTGCGGTCACCTGTAAGTGTGGTGCGATACCTGAATCTTTGCCCTGCCATGTTGCCAAATGAGCCATTCTCAGTTGGTCGCAGGTCAAACCTCTTGTAGTTATCTTCAGATTTAATGGTGTGGTAGATTGAATTAAATGGCTGCTTGCATAAGGGGCATTCTGCTTTGTTCTTTGACCACTCATGAATGCAGCAGAAGCAAAACTTATGTAGGCACACATCAAGATATGATATGTTTTTAAAGTGATCCAGGCATATTGGGCACTTTGATTCCGGAGATGCTGCTTTTGATATTGTGTTTAACACAACACCTGATGGGTGCTCCTTCATTTGTGGTGATGCCATTATCTGATGGAAGAAACATTTGAATTATTAGGCAACTTGTACTGTTCTCAGCATTCGCTACATCTGACTAAATGTGCATGTTTAGAAAGTTTAAATAACATTATAAACGAAAAGAAAAATAATGAATTTAAACTTTCATTAAAATCACTAGATATTTTAAGTACAAAGCCAAAAATGTCAAAGTGATACTGTCCTGAAATTCCCTAAAAGAAAACCATTTTAGGTAGTATAGCATACTGTTCTATTATTTCTCAGATTTTTTAAAAACAAAACAGCTTCACTGCTTAATATTAGAAAACTTTTGTACGTCAAATTATTACGAAATATTCTATGAGTAAATATGACTACATACATACCAATAAATAGCCTACTAATATATTAGTAGTTATGTGATCGTGTTTACTCACATTACAAGTTTTTCTTCTTAGTAATATAAAACTACTTTTTGATAGATACAACAAAATATTAGAATTTTGCTGCGTTACAAAATACCGAGCAGCATATAACAAAAGGTGTCATACTAGCTTTTGTGTTAATCGCAATAAATACATTTCTATAATAAATCTATGTAGGACCGAATAATGTAAAACTAATATATCCCCTTACAAATTATGTTTTACTTACTCTTCCTTGTATTTGTATTTGTTGAAACTTTCGGAGTACTTAGATCCTCTGGATTCCACCGGAAGCATCTCACTTAAGTATCCGAAACATAAAAAGGAGCATTATGACTTGTACCGTTTAATAATTGTAATAATGCATTACAGAATGTAATGTAAACATGTAACCTGGAAATAATGTACGTTAACTTACTTACTGCCTAACAAACCAGTGCCGGTTCAAAGATCACAACACGATATTCAAAAAGTCTGAAATACATGATATATGACGGATTTTTATTGCTAAACCTTTACTGTAGATATAAAAAGCGCTTAATAAGAACCAAAAATGACCCAACTTCTCCCAGTCGGTCTAGGGCTACATAAGCAATGTTGATAATGACGTAAAAAAACAAGACCATCTCGGAAGTGAAATGCAGTCACTTTTAGAACTTCCTGTTTTTCACTTCAAAATAAAAGCACATCACCCAAGCACAAGAATAACGTCCAGAGTAATGTTTTTAATTTCATAATTTCAAAATACTAAAACACTCACAAAAACACTAGAGAATTGTTGACTAAATAACAACGACAGAGTGTAGTATATCCTAATTGATAAAAAGAACTTAAATTTTTCACTACTATTTAGGAAAATCTGTTTTATTTGTGTTTCTCCCTAAAAAATATCATGCAATAACAAATGTCTAAGACTCCTTGTGTTGTTAAAGAATGTTCCTCTTGACTGTTCATTGTTTTCATCAAAATAGTACAATTTTGCAAGTTGTCACAACAATTATATATTTGTAATGAATCAGATTAAATAACCTTCATTTTAATTATCAAAATATTTATGTAATTTGTAATCAGTACCAGCATATTTATATTCAGGAGTAATCTACCCAAATGGGTGTTACTGTCACTTGAAAGCACAGGAAAGCACACAGAATCTGTATAATACATTTTATTGACATAGTATACACTCAAACATGTTAATTTTACAACCAGTGCAGACAGGATGTTTATACTGAATATAAACTGGCATCTTTAATGATGACCGTGACTCTCTGCTTCAGGAAGATTTGGGACCACTTCTCCTGTTTCCAAAATGGTGTCTCCCTGAAAAACATACATACACAAAGAAAGATGTGTATGAGGACATTTAGAAACATCAATATGAATAATTATTTGAATGTTAATTTACAAAACACCTTACTGATTACTTTACTATATTCCTTTTTGCTTTCAATTATAAGTCGCTTTGGATAAAAGAGGCTGCTAACTGAATAAATAATAAAACGTAAATATAAATTATCACTAGTGTGATAATACTGCTTCGACCAAATATACTTACAGGAAACAGTCTGGGTTTTAGCTCAACAATTCCATATGGCTTTTTCTGTGGAAACAAGAAATATCATTCTATTTGAGTTTTAAATTTTAACATGATAATGATCAACCAAAACACAAAGATATTAAGTGTTATTTTATCTGTCATTTTATCTATGGTAATATTTCAGTCCCTCAGTTGTTGTATAGTTTTTGTTCACCAAAATAAAACGTAATTAGCTTTTTAATAGATATAACCATTACACTGAATTGAAAGCAATACTGCATTCATATTTATTAGTGGTACTACAACAATATAACGTGTCAGGATATATATCACAATACAAACAAATGTTTCGTGGATAGCAACAATATGTATAGATTGCCCAACATTAAAGTTTAGACAGATTTAATTTAGTATCAAATATGATAAAGCCAGATTGTCAAACTAATTTTCTGATACATCACTGATGAGGTAGGTTACAGTAAATAGAGATGTCTGAAAATTCATTGATTTGATCGATAACATTACCTAGCATGTTCTATTTTTAAGTGAATGTTCTAGATACTTCTTTCAGTATGTTATGTTTCATACCAGTTTGATTTGTTGAAGTATTAAGTTTAGGGATGGGCAATTATGTCCTGCAGAGTTTAGCTCCATCCTTAATCAAACAGACACCTGCCTGCAATTTTTAAGTAACTGAAAACTGTGGTTAGAATTTTCAGGTGTGTTTGATTACGGATGGAGCTTCCAGTTTTTTTGCATTCTATATTTTTTGCATTCTATATTATCTGGTATTTGTGTAGAAGTAGTAGAAGTAGTATAGCTTTTTAATACCACGTCAGCAACTTCATGGCAAAACCCGAGTTGAACAAATACAATCAAAACAAAACAGCAGTTAAAATCATACATCAACCTGCATGATTTTCTTTCTTCTGCTCAACACAAAAGAAGATATTTTGAAGAATATGTTTGAGTTGATGGGACCCCATTGACTTCCATAGTATTTTTTTTTTTCCATACTGTGAAATAGATGTCAATGGGGCCCATCAACTGTTTGGTTACTAAAATTCTTCAAAATATATTATTTTGTGTTCAGCAAAAGAGAGAAATTCATACAGGATTATGAGGGTGAGTAATTAAATGATGACAGAATTTGGTTGAACTATGTGAATTTTAATAGAAATTAATTAGGTATAGTCAGGTGTCAAATAAAATATATACACGCATATATTAAATTAATGTTGTTAGAAATTGTTTAAAATTGCCATGGCAAAAGAGTTCCAATATGGTTGGTCAATGTCACACTCAAAACAGTTATCAGTTTTGATAGCTAGAAAAGGTCACCTAGACAATTTTAGCAAAGACCTTTACAGTAAATTAAAATGTAAAATTGAACTAATGAAATGATATGCAGCACACAATAATGCTTTCTACATTCTAAGAGTAAAGAAAACAAATAAATAAATAGGAATGTTTTGGTGCTGTTTTTGAAAAAAAAAATATATATTTCTGGGGAAGAAATTGAATTTTTTTGGGGGCCTGCAATGAATGATCAAACTCTGGAAACACCCTGCACATCTGAACTTCCACGTTTATTAATTATGATGAAAAAATTAAATATACAATACATTATTTAATAAAATACATAATTTAAGACTTTAAATGTTTGAAGTCGGGGACAGAGTGACAGCATGCGTGTCAAGCATAATTTTTATCAATATTACTATTCTGGTGTCATCGTTGCACTGTACATGGATAAGCGCAAGTTGAAGCCTATTCAAGTCCAAGCCTGATGAAATACCAAATTTAACATTTTAATAAACCATACTTTTTGTTAACTGTTTATCATATCATGTCTTAGAAGTAAATATACTGTTAACAAATGAGACCTTATTGTAAAGTGTTAAAAATAATAAATAAAAACAAGTAAGTTACTTCAACTCTATTTTGACTTGTGAGTGTATCGAGTCAAAACGTGACATAAGTGTTATACTCCTATTTTTTACTCCTACTTCTCATCGAATAATGTACATCCTTACGAACACACACACACACACACACACACACACACACACACACACACACACACACACACAATTAAGTAATTAATTATGTTCAAAGAAATCAGTGTGACCATAATAAACATGCACTTACAGCGACATGGTACTTCATATAGTAATGCACGACCCACGCCGGGATCAGAATCCGCGTGATGGCAAAAACACTGGCATTATAGGCTTTAAATGTCTGGTTCGTCCGCATAAAAAGAAGATAAGACAAAATTGCATGTTATAATAATATCCTGCCGTTAAAATGCTCAGTTAAACTTGAATGCATGTTACTTATACACAACATACATTTTCACTCTCTGGATAAATAAATCATATAAGGCATAAACTCACGTAAAGTCTCCAGAGTGTCTTGGGCTCCAGAAATCCACCCCAGAATCGCTCGATGCGGCCGGGTGTTTTGGGTGCAGTGACAGGCTCTCGAGGACTGAGTTCCTGATCTTTAAGCCATTGCCGCCGAAGCTTTGTTAACTGCTCAAAGCGGAGCTTTTCATCCGCTGTGGATCCAGTCATACTGATTTTCTATTACTTTACAAATAGTAGAATGTACAATGACATCTAAAGAGGACAAACCTCCCAGAGTGCAAAGCGAACTCAAGAACACTCGGCATAAACATCGGGCTTTTACACTGCGACACCTATTGATCTGGAGTAAAATAACCACTGTGACGATGATAAGCAAAATAAACCAATAACCACACGAGGTCGTGCGTTACCCAAAGAACTGCCTTTTCACAGCCTGCGACAGGACAATAGGTCAATCAATGTTTTGTTGGGTAGCATGCCCTTTCTTTTACTGTCTATGGTAGCATGGCCCCCAGATAGCAGACCAACATTGAATCTACATTGAATCAATGTTAATGCATTAACCAAAAGATCATTGAATCAATGAAATTTTACACCCAGATAATTTTTTTTTATTATTGCTGGATATTGCTATGCTTTTTGCACCCAGATAACGTAGTTCTAGTTGAGGATTAAATTTCCTAAAAGAGCCTAACACGGCTTGCTCTACTGGTAGAACTACATTATCTGGGTGCAAAAAGCATCTTTGCTGACATATAAATTACAAATATTCGGTTAAAATTTTTGAACATTTTTTCCCAGTGCCCAATTTGTCTATATTTTTTCTCTATCTGCTGCCTTTCAGAAACTACACTGCATAAGGATATATTTTGTTTTGTTGATACATCGTCCATGTGTTGAGAACATGAGGGCTAAACTGAATGATCACTCCAAACCTATATTTTCACAATGGCTGTTGCAAATTGCAAATAATGACCGTAGACCCACTATGTATAAAACATTTTAATTATTTATATTACAATACAAGAATACATAATACCTTTAGAGTGTGGGCTCAAACATAGCCAGCACCAGGTAAATATGTGTACGTACTCAGACACACACACACACACACGGAGAGAAAAAGACACCTTTACAATATTATACAACATCTGAATGCATATTATTTGTTTTCTAAAAGGAAATCTGTTCACAGGTCTCTAGCACAGAACCCTCCCTTCGCAATCTTTCCGCAAGTTTTCCTCATGCTAAAACGCAAGCGTTCTGCCAGCTACACCACTCATGCCTGTCAACCTGTCAACAAACTGCTTCATGAACACAAATAAAAGCAGAGAAAAAGTGGGCAGCAAATATGGGTCACAAACCTACAGTCATATAAAGATATAAATCTGATATTACACCTGATGCCTCCCAAAATTGGGAGGTGTTAGAAAAATAAGTCTATAGAATCTATATGGCAGGAATCTTTTTCATTGAAGTTCTTTCTTTCTTCTAGTGCTTTTATGTGTATAACAAAGGTAAAAGGAATTATACATAGTTATATATTTTCTTCTTGGTCATTCTGGTCTGTTCTTTAAGTAGCCTTGACTCCCAGTCTCCTGTCTCCATGCCATCTAGCTTTCCTGCCGCACAGACTTTAAGTAAGCTCAATCAAACATGCTCAGCAGAAAGCTCAATCTGCAAGGCCCAACAAACGCAAAGTATCATCACAACATGCCATCAATTTTTTATTTTATTTTATAGAACACACATCTAAGATCCTTGGACACCTGGCTCTTTTCACATAATTATGTGTACCCGTCTGCTGACATAGGCCTACACTCTTTTTTTTTTTTTTTGTGTTTTAAAGCTTTCATAAACCCTGAAGCCGCTGAATAGCCCTGTCTCTGTCACAAGTATTTCTTTCACCACACTGGAAGCTGACTTTAGCTTGATTTCACATATTTGCCATGTGACATGTGATTCTTAGATAATGCCAATGAAAGCTACAATCTCTTAAAGATTTGGAAAAAAAAATCTCGTGTACAATTCTCTGAACTCTAGATCAAATCATGTTGATGGGAGGTTCTGTGCAAGAGTTTGCTTTTTCCTTTTTACAATTCACTTGATCAACATATTGGAACACATTGAAAAAGCATAGTTTTGCTACAACAGTCAGGCATATCCATGACATAAATGTAAACTCTTCAATGACAAAAAAAAATAGCTTTACAAAAAGATAAAAAATAAAAGAATAAAATAAAAACATGCTCCCTCCTTTAAGTGTTTGTAGAGAATGGAGAGATAAAATAATAACAATTTAAAAAAAGAAGACTCAATGAGTTGGTCACAATATGCACCATAGTATTGAAACAGTGCTGCTTACCAAATACACCCAGTTTCCACCCCTTTACAAACAAAATGATCATATTGCTGTATCTTTGCTTTTATGGGCAAAGGATCAAATACTACCATCACCTTATGCAGACTTTAACACTAAAACAGGAACTACCATTGGGAGAGGGTGGGGAGGACTCGAGCTGCCAATAATGATTGATTCCAATGCTCTTCTCCCAAGGTTTTCCACTTCATTGTTTGAAATACAAAACACATATTAGGCATAAAGGACAATAAAAGACAGCTATTATCAAACTTGAAAAAATGAAATGAAAAGAGCCTCAAGGGCAGAGTTGATTAGATAACGCTTTTCAATGGGGTGAGACGAGCTGCCAAAAGAGGTCATGACCAGTGTCGCTGATGTGGATGATGTTGCATGGCAGAATGGAAAGCACATTTTCGGGGAATTAAAAGATGGATGTCAGAGGTGACTAACCAATGTTTCTCGTCACCTTGTGCCAAAGGCCAAAGAAGAGTCTATTCTGAGGATGGAAGCTGCGGGGTGGCTGGCAGGTAGTGATCCGAGCAGGGCTGGAGGGATGTGTCAAGGAGATGAGGGGAGGAAAAGGGATACGACCAGTCAAGGCACAGCATGACGGTTGGAGATAAGGAACAAATGCCAGAGTTCTTACAAACATTATCCTGGCCCCATGTTCTGTCATTTATAAATATTTATATATATATATATACCTCTATTTTTCTTTTAATCAAGGACTATTTAGGAAAATATAATACAAAATCTACTACAGAAAATATAAACTACACCTCAAATCACCAGTATGTTTTTGGCTTCTTTTTTTCAAAAGTAATTTATTTCTTTTTTTAATTTATTTTGGTCTAACCTGCTTTAAAGACAGAGACTGTCTGAAGAGTTGGAATTCCTAGCACAAAGAACTTTCTTTTATATACTGAATATTGCACACTGCACTGCATATATACTGCTGAAGAATAAAGGCTTAACAAATATTGCAAGTAAGTTACAGGGAAAGACATGGGACTAAAAGCATCAATATAATTATATTCTGATAGTACCAACACCTCAACAAGTGTTTTCCCCATCTCTACACCTTCACATGTACAGTCATGCAGTTTTGACTTGTCAGTTTGATTGCTGGCCCCACACACACACACACACACACACACACACTAAACAAAAAACAGGTAAAAAAAAAAACCTACTCATCTTCTCAAGTCTTTCAGACTTGGTCCAGAATAATTTTACTGAATTAAAAAGCTGTAGCTTTCCAAGTTTAATGCCACAAAATTTACTACTACATTTTACTACTGTTAATTTACTACTATCAACAACAGACCGTTGTAGTGATGCATTTGGAAAGCCCCATTTCTTTGCTCTATGAGTAGTCAACCATTAGATATTAATAGTCATTCTTCTTTCACAAAAAAGTAAGCAATTAATGAACTTCATGGTCAATTTTTTTAATCTGAAAGAGAATCCATTGATTCCTAGAAGTGCCCTGGAGTTTTAGCCTTTTGCTCCCTTTCCATTAATCTATTAAGGAGTCTATACTGCCTTAGATGACAGAACTAGGCACCAAGGCAGTTACTAAGTTTTGGAACGGAGCCAGTTTCACACTGTGCACAGCCAATAAAGAGGACACAGACGAGGAGATGTTTTTCTCATACAATTTTTCCTAAAGTTTTGCTTGTATAGAGCTGTTACCGTAATACATGAGAATAACAGCTCACCATCCCTCCACTGACTAACTTCACTGCAGTATACCATATTCACGGAGTGACCAAAGAATTAACGGTATGTCAAATATTTGGATTGACTCCCATCAGCGCTGAATTGTGATAAATGTTGATCTAGACTCTAAGTGACTTAAAAGTTGCATGAATTCCGATATGACTGTTTAAACTGAGGTCGCTTTGCAAAACATCAGACCTGTGTCTGATTTAGAATCATAGGCTATTGGAATTGGCCCAAATCAGAATCGAAAAGATCAAATTCTATGTTTGAGCTGTTCACACTGTTATGAAAAAAAAAAAAAAAACATATCATATTTAATGACTTATTAACAGAAAAATCGCATTTGGGCCACTTTTGCCTGCAGTCTGAAAATAGCCTTAGTATTAATTTTTTTTTATTTATTTTTATTCAGGTTTTAGAGTTCTGAGGTCTCCTTATCAAAAGGTTACTTGATAGTACTAAATAAATATTAATACATTTCTTGTTGAAGTGCCCTGGAATTTTAGCTTTTTGCTGCCTTTCCATTAATCTATTAAGGAGTCTATACTGCCTTAGATGACAGAACTAGGCAGCAAGGCAGTTACTAAGTTTTGGAACAGAGCCAGTTTCACACCGCAGCAGAACAGACAAGTTAAAACTGCATTACCACACCACATGTTCTTACTAAAACCACATATTGCTTGTTTGTGTGTATTTGTGGGGTTGGGTCTGATATAAAGTGTATAAAGTGTTGCAAGGGTTGAGAGGGAAGAGAGTTTTCTGATGAGTGGAAGTCAGCCAGGTGTTTCCTGCCAGCTGGGAGTGGCTGATGGGTATGTTGGAGGTGACACACTGTAGCGGTCTGACACGGCCTAGCAGATGTGAGCCTGTAATCTGTGGGAATGTGAATGGTGGCCTCCATCGCTGGAGCTGCTCTGCAGGCTGTAGTGGTCCTCACCATCGCTAACACTGTCCACACTATCATTCTCACCTGGCGTGAACTCCATTCCCTCTATGTCAATGTCCACATCTGTGAAAACATAGAAATAAAATCTCATCAACAGTGATTTATACACATGAATCAAAGATCCCAAGAATAAAGGAATATTCTGTGTTGTATTAAACCTAATGTCTTTGGATGGCAAATATAAAATTCTGAAGCTTGCCACAGACAATAATGCTGACTTGTGTAAAAGGGTTATGGTTATACTTGTGAAATAGTGTGCTTAACATTATTGTT